CGCCGCGGCCGACTCCCCGCCGGCCCGGCGGGGCACCCTTTTTCCCGTTTTCAAGGGCGCGAGCACGCAGAGGGTCGTCTTCAACCGGATCGCCCGCGACGCGGCCGAGCTTCGCTGGGCGGCTTCTCCAGGCTGACCCCGAGCGCCGCCATGCTGGTGGACCTGGAGGCGCCTGCTGGCCATGTCTTGCGCGTGTGGGCCGATGACCTCCAGGACTTCTACCCGGCCTTCGACTGCGCTACGAGATGGTTCGCACCAGCGACGTGGCCCTCCCCCTCCCGACGAGGCTCTACGAGGGCTTCGCGGCGCTGGACAGGTTGCGGACACGTTGTCGTCGCGAGGGCCACGACCTTCCTGAGACGGTGGTCCCTTGCCATGGCGGCCTGATCATGGGAGGCCTGGGCGCGCCCGACTGGGCGTGGGAGCCCCGCGTGCGGCTGCTCGCCCAAGCTGGCAGTTTCCCCCCGAGCGGCGGCTGCTCAACCGCCACCTCGCCCCCGAGGGGGCCGCCTGGGAGGGGGTCGTGCTGGGCGACCGCTTCGGCCCGGCCGTCGACGCGCCTGGCTCGCGGGCAGCTCGGCGCGCGATCGAGGACTCCTTCGCCCGCGCGCGCGAGGGCTACGCTGGCGCCGGCCTCAAGGTCAGCGCGAGCAAGGAGGTGAAGGGCGCAGCGGAGGCGACGGTCATCGGGGCGGAGCTCTTGGGCCACGACCGGCTCGTCGGCGCCCCCCGCGCCCGCAGGCTGGCGTTGGCCTTGGCGGGCCCCGCCCTGGCCCGAGGCCGGCGCTCCACCGCGCTGGGCCTGCGGAGGTTCCTGGGCATGGGCTTTTTTGCCGCTCTGTTTCGGAGGCCTGCCCTGTCGCTCCTCCACCACTGCTACAAGGAGGTAGACGCCGGTCGCGACCCTCACGAGGTGTTCGGCCTGAGCGGCGCTGCCTGCAATGAGTGCGCCCTGTTCGCGGTCCTCCTCCCGCTGATGACCACGGACCTCTCCGCGGGGTGGGGCCCGCGCGCGCTGGCCTCGGACGCCTCGTACCTGGCTGGGGCGTCCGTCAAGACGCCCGCCCAGGCGCCCGTCGCCCGCGCTTTCTGGCGACAGCGCGAGCAGCGTGGCGCTCGTACGTGGCTTTACCCTCCTGGCTGGGCGGCCCTGGCAAACCCCGAGGACGGCGGCGTCTTGCAGGATCTGGAGGAGGACGCCGCCCCGCCCACCGGCGTCGTCGACCCTTAATCGGCCTCGCTCATCGAGTACTTCGACGTGCTGGAGCTCTGCTGCGGGGAGGGGGCCCGCCTCATGGGTCACCTCGCGGGCCGGGGCCTGCGCGCGGGCCCGAGGATTGACATCAAGTGCCGCAAGTACTGGGACCTGGTCAACTCGCGCCTGGCAGAGTGGATCATTTAGCTGATCTGGCAGAGGCGCGTGAAGATGACCATTTCGCAAGTGCCGTGCACCAGTTTCTCCGCCGCGAGGCACCCGAGGCTCCGGTCCAGGTCGCGGCCCTGGGGATTCGACCCGTCTTCTACTCCGACGTGGCTGGGCAACGTCCTCTTCAGGCTGGGCACGCTGGCGCTACTTGCGCACCTGCTCTCGGGCTACGGCACTGGCCTGCATGAGCGCCCGCTGACGGCCTATTCCTGGTTCACGCGCATTGTTGAGTTCTTGCTGTCGCACGACGTCGTGTAGCGGTTCGACCCCTCGATGTGCCAGTTCGGCGCGCCCTGGAAGAAGGACGCCAGCCTCTTGGCAGTGCGGGGCTTCTGGCTGGCGCCGATGGCGAGGCGCTGCTGGGGGGATCACGCGCATGCCATTTTGGAGGGCGGCCTGACCTCCAAAGCCGCGCTCTACCCGCACGGCCTCTGCGACGAGCTGTCCCGGCTGATCTCCGAGAACCTGGGCTGGCCTTCCCCGCCGCCGCAGTCTGAGGGAGGAGCGCCCCCTGGAGCGTTCGAGGCCCTTTGGCTAAACGACTACGTCAGCTTCGCCCCTTGGCAGCTGCACCACCACCGCCGCTTCCGCAAGTCCCTCCACATCAACCTGCTGGAGATCGATGCGGCCTGCGATGCGGTGGACGAGCAGGGCCTTCAGTTCCCTGACTGCAAGCGTAACCTCTGCCTGGGCTCCCGCGTTTCGATCGGAGCCATCAGCAAGGACCGCTCCGCCTCGACCGCGATCAGTAAGCTCTTGAGAAGGGGGGCCCCCTTGCAGCTGGCCGCGGGCACGTGCGTCGGATGCCACTTCTCGCCGACTCGCCTGCAGCCAGCCGACGCCCCGTCGCGCGCGCTCAGCGACCCGGCGGGCGCGGTGGTCAGCGGAGCCGAGGCGCCGCCTCCTGCTCCGCCCTGGCTGGCCAGCCTCGAAGCCGGGGACGCCTCGGCCTTTCGCGCCTGGGCCGCGCCCCCGCTGCAGCGCCGGCAGCAGTCGCGGTGGGCTTGGCAGGTGGCGCGCTTGTGGTGGCGAGGGCTCCTGCGGCTTGCCCCCCGCCCGCGGGTGCGCGACCCCGCGCTGGGCTTTCCTGGGGAGGGCCCGCGCGGCGGCGAGATCGCGGAGCACGGCGACGGCTCGCCGAGACGGCCCCCCATGGAGGTGAGCAGGGTTCCATCCCCTGGTCAGGCGACGGCCCGGATCCGCCCGGGCACGGCCAGCCTCCCTCGGCGGCGCCGGCTCTTCGGGCTCCTAGTGCTGCTGCTGCTGCTGGGCCGCGCGGAGGCGCCGCGCCCGCCGACGGCCCGCCCCGCGGGGGTGGACCTGGCGGCGACTCGCGGCCCGACGCCAGTGGCCCAGGCGCGCCGCGCGGCGCTCGTCTCGCAGCTCCAGCACTGGCTGGCTGGATGCGGCGGCCCGGCCTGGGACCTGTTCATCCTGATGGATCCTGCAACTGTGGGCCGTCACTTGGCTACGTACGGCCAGTTCATGTATGACGCGATGAGGAGCCGCCACGACTTCGACGAGACGATCAACGCTGTGGTGGATGCCAATCGAGCCCTTCGCCACCGGCTCGATGTGGCGTGGGACATCTCCTTCACGTGGAAGCACCTCGCGCCGAGCTCGAACCGCCAGGCGATGCCTGAGGCGCTGCTGCTCGCGTCCCTGAGCCTGGCGCTGGCCTGGGGTTGGATCGACGTGGCCGGCTGCCTGCTCCTGGGCTTCTTCGGCATGGTGAGGCCGTTCGAGTTCCTGAGGCTGAGGCTCGAGGACCTCGTGCTCCCCTCTCGTTCTTTAGAGCGCCTGCAAGCAATGTGTGTGCACGTCGGCGCGCCAACAATGAGACGGCTTGGCGCGCGCCGCGAGCACATCAGGATTGACGTTCCACAGGTTGTGCAATTATTCGAGACCCTGTCACTTCGGTCCCCCCCTCGCTCCCCTCTCTTGCATGGTGGTGCCCGTGTTTTCAGATCCTGTTTGGATGCCCTCTTGGAGTTTCCGGAATTCAGCATTCGGACAAAATTGGCATCGCTCTTGCGTCCCTCCGCCCGGGAGGGGCCACGTTCTGGTACAGACTCACAGACTCGCCAGACTGGGTGCGCTACAGGGGTCGTTGGCTCTCCAGTCGCATGCTAGAGATTTATATCCAGGAGGTAGGTGCTAGCAGGCTCCTCGCTGACCTCTCTGGGCCCCTCCGTAAGAAGATCCAGCTTTTCTCGGAGGCTGCCGGCGACTCTCTTTTCGAGGCCACCTGGCAGCTTCTGGCTTCGAGTCGTTTGCCGAGGCCGAGCGACGTCGACCCTCGCCCTTCCGGTGCCCGTCCTCGAGTGCCGCCGCCGCTGCCAACAGAGCTCTTCGGTGCCCGCTTCGCTCCTCCCGCCCCCTCCCCGTCTTCCACCATGAGCAGTTGTGGCTAGTCGAGGCCAGGCCCAACCGTGACCGGCCTCGAGCTTGGGAGTAGAGGAGCTTTTTCAGCAGAGGAAGGGCATCGCTGATTGCAGCGATTCCTCGACGCGCGTGGGCTCTGGCTTCAAGCTCTCCCGTGCCCGCCCCCCCCTTGGCTGGTCGAGGCCGGGCCCAAAAGTGACCGGCCTCGAGCTCTCAGAAGTTTGCAGAGGCAGTGGCGAGCCCCGGAAAAGATCATCGGCCTTGGGAGTAGAGGAGCTTTTTCAGCAGAGGAAGGGCATCGCTACACACATATACACGAACCCGTGGCTGCCCAACCAGCATCGGTGTTGCTGTGTTCTCCCGCTACTTCTCCCCATCTCCCTCGGCCTCCCCCTCCTCCGCTTCCCCCTTCCTTCTTCTTCCCCTCCGCTTCTCTCCTTCCCTCCCTCTCCCCCCCTCTTCCTACTCCTCCACCTCCCCGCCCCTTCCTCCCACCCCAGTCATTCTGATGTGCGTAACTACAGGTATGGCTGGGCGCGCGCCCTCTTGATCGTCCTTGGCCCTCTTGCGGCTGCGTTTCTGTTTCTACGTTGGTTGTCTCGCGTTCCCTTGCCGTTGGCTCTGGGTTTCTCTGGCCCCACCTCTCCGAGCACGCGTCGCTTTTCCGCATTGGGCATGTGATGGGATATTCCTGTATAGCTGCGTTGCTTGTAATGCGTAGTTGGCATGTGCTCTGTTGCCCCTCCAGACCCACCCCTGCCCTTCCCTGTCAGCAGTGCCCACCCCTCCCTCTCTCAGGCAGCCTTGGGAAGACAACTCCCTCCATAGCGTCCACGAGCGCTTTCAGCGTGTTCATAGCGCTCTGGATTGGCCACGGCGCCCAGTACATCCTCCAAACTGACCGGCTCTCAGATATCCCATCTCTGCCCAAGTTTGCCTGCGTCTTGCCGTCGTTTCAGTCTTTCTTCGGCGTCACCCAACATACTTACAATGCCGTGCGTCGGCACCCCCAGGTCGACGCGCGCGCTCAGAAGTTTGATGCTGTGTGATCGGGGGTGGGCGCCTCCTGGCCATACCGCCTGGGTAACGAGATGCTGCAAGGTGTTTGTGCTGGGAGCTCGGTTCGGACTTTCGCTTCAAACGGGGGGCGTATGGTGCTAGCAGTTCCTTCTGCATCCCGTCCCCCCGCAGCCTTGATGGCTCACGGCGCACAGGGCCGCAGGTCACACGACCGTACACTCCATACCTGATTTGGCTGCCGCAGGCGGCCCCTCTTCCATGGCGGCTCTCTTGGTCGCGGGGCTCCTCGCTCTCGCGAGGACCGCCGCGTGCCTGCAGACGGTGACCCAGGATGGGTCGTTGCACAACCTGACCGTGTGCAACGCTTACGCGGACAGCAGGCCCATGAACGTGTACTCGCGCGCCAGGGGGTCTCGCGGGCAGGAGGAGCGGGACAGGGCACACGTCAAGCTCACGGAGCAACCCCTCGAGTACAAGAGGTGCAGGAGTCTCGTCGTCGACCTGGCCGAGGACGCGCACATCGACTTCAGGCTCGGGGGCTTCAGCGTGGGCACCTTCCACGCGAACAACCTGCCTTACGCCTCCGCGTCGCTGCTGCTGGTCCCGTACCACCACACCAACGGCAGCATGTCCGCCGACTTCCTGTCCCACACGTTCCCGCCGGACGAGGAGGGGTCGCAGATCGCCGTCCTCGACACCTACACAGGCAGCGCCAGGGGCACCATGCACATCCTGTCCGGCGGGCCGAGCCCGGCGGCCGTGGAGCTGCACGGCACAGCGGCCGTGCAGCTGCACGCGGAGGGCGCAGAGGGGAAGCGGCGGCGGACCGCGGAGCTGAAGCCCAGCACGGCGGCGACGCTGGCCGCAGGGCAGTACGAGGTCGTGCTGCGAGACGCCAGCGGCAATCGCCAGAGGACCGTGTCGCTGGACGCGGCCGCGGGCAGCACCTTCGTGGTGATCCGCGTGGGCAGCGAGGAGGACGATCTCGCGCAGGACCTGCTCGTCGCCAAGATCAGCGGGAGCAGTGGCGCTGCCGGGAGCGGCACCGTCCGGTTGGCCCCCGGCGCCCTGGCCGGGGTCCTCGCGGCGTGCGCTGCCGTTTCTGCCGGGCTGCCGTGAGCGCGGCTGCGACTCGCGGTGCCGGGCCTGGCTCTCCGCCAGTCCGTGGCTCCTGTCCCACTGCATTCTGGCGACTATGTACACATTGCAGGGGCCAGCCGCTCCCCTACTGCACGGGAGTGACATCCAAAGAGGGCACTGCTGGGGCATGGGCCCTCGGATGGCGTACAGACCCCCTGGCATCGGCCAGGATGGCGGGACACCGCATCATGCCCAGGGTGGCCCTAGCTTGGCATGGCGGCGGTGCACAGTTGCCTCCCGATTTTCACGAGGCTTCCCCGGCTCCACGGCTTGCTGCCGGCGGCCCAACAGGTATTCCGCCTGCCTCCCCTGGTCTCTCCTGCTCGCCCTTTTCCTCGTCGTCATCCTAACCCAGACGTTATGGTATGGTGTAGCGCCCCCCACGGGGTTCGGAATGAGTTTGACCAATTCTGAAGATTGGATTGTCGTGTTGTCTCCTGCTCCTCTTCCTCATCCCCGCCACCCTGCTCCTTCTGTCCTTCTTCCTCCCTACTCCTCATAATCCCCTTCTGCTTATGATTCCCTTGTCCTAATCCTCCTCCCCTTCCTCCTCGTCATCCTCTCCATTATGCTCTCTGCCCCCCCTTCCTCCTCACGTGCCTCCTCCTCCGCCTCCTCGTCGTTGTTCCTCTCCTCTTCCTCATTGCCTTTCTCTCCTCCTCGCCGCCCTCGTCCTCCTCCTTGCCGTTCTCCCTCCACCTCTTCCCTCTTTCGCCTCGCTTTTCGCTCCCTCACTTTCTCGCCATCCCCCTCCAGACGTTTAGGTGCAGGCTCGTCAAAGGGCCCTCTACTGTCTGGCTTGGGAGGGGGCTGCCTCCTTGTCCTCTGCCTCTTCCTCCTTCTTCGTCCTGCTCCGCATCCGTTCTCCTCCTCGGAACCTCACCTTGCCCCACCCAAGCCAGAGTCCCACCCCAGCCAGTGGCCGAACCTTTTGCGCTCACCGCCGCTTCTCTAAGTTGTAGAGCCTGGTCTTCCACCAAGTCCTGTTCCGATGGCACGTGCTCCTCCGCGGTGCCCATCCGAGAGCACAGGCTCTGTGATGCAGGCTCGCTCGACGAGGCATCGACAGGCGGCCTGGACCATGGGCCGGCGGCGCGATCAGGGGGGAAGGCAAGGGGGGGCGGGCCTCCTCGGACGGCGGCGGGGCTTCTCAGAAGCCCTCAGCGAGAGCGTCGGCGCGCGGGAACGCGTGACAAGCGACAACGGTATCGCACCCAGGAGCTCCGAGCGTCCCGAGGGCGCCCGCCCCGTGGAGCGGCTCGCCGCCGCCCCCCCTCCCCCTTGTGGTGCGGTTTGGCCGCCCCTGGCTGCTCCGCCTGGCCCCAGGGGGCGGCCCGCAACCGCATCCAAGATGTAAGGAGCACGCCCTCCCCCCCCCTCCCCTTCGGTGGTGGCGGCAGGGCCCGCAGCGCGGGCAGGCGGGTCGTGTGGCGACTGGGTGCCGTGGGCTGGCTCGGCTGGCTGGTGGGATGGCTCATTCGGGCACCCGGCTTCGCTTCTCTCGTGTGCCGACGCAGGGGCCCATCGAGCGGAGCAGCTTGCTCTCCCTCCCGGCCGTCCGACTCATCCTCCAGAATCCCGAAATTATCCGATGATAGGTCGTGCTAGCACAGCCTACCCCGAACCAGACGACCGCCGAGATGGTACGACGGCTTCGCTGTATTACTCATGGCCGCTGATGGGCGATATGTCCCTCCAATGCATCCCCATTCCCTCGACGGCATTGCTGCACCTCCCCCTTCTCGTCCTCTTCCTCCCCTCCTCATCTGCCCCGACTACTGGTGCCCCCGAGGCAACATACGGTGGGCACACACAGACACACACACACACACGCACACACACGCAGGCACGCAGACACGCACACACGCAGACACGCAGACACGCAGAAGCGCACACACGCATACACTCACACACGCACACACGCATATGCGCCCGCCCCCTCAACAACACAGCACACAGCACACAGCACACAGCACACAGCACACAGCACACAGCACACAACACAACGCACACAGCACACAGCGTACAAAACACAACACACACACAACACACACACACACACACCGCACACCACACAACACACCACGCAGCACACAAAACACACACCACACATCACACAACACACAGCACGCAGCCACAGCACACAACTCACAACTCACACCACAACACATACAACAAGCAGCACCCAACACACATGACATCACACAGCACACAACACACACACAATCCACACCTCATAACACACAACACACAGCACACTAAACACACCGCGCACGCACATCACACACATTGCAACACAACACGCACAACACACAACACACAACAGATAGCGCACAACACACAACACACAATACACAAGACACACCTTACAACACAACACACACCACACAACACAGCCGCGCACGCACAGCACACACATTGCAACAGAAAGCGCACAACACACAACACACAGCAGACAGCGCAGAACACACAATACATAACACACAGCACACAACACACACACGCACGTTTTGCGGTCGCGGCTTCGTGTGCACCGACGAGGCGGCGAGAGTCGAACGACCAGCACGGGACTGGCGCGCGCGGACGGGCCATCAGAAGCGGGGATCCGTTGGATTGACCGCGCACGCATGCACATACACACAAGCACGCACACAACACACACACACATTCCCGCACACACACACGCATACACAGTCTTTTGGGGACGCGACACGCACACACAAACACTTTTTGGCGGTCGCGGTCTGGCACGCGGCGAAGAGGCGGAGCAAGTCGAGACACACAGACACACACACACACACACGCACGCACGCACGCACGCACCAACACGCACGCACGCACACACGCACTCCCACACACACACACACACACACACACACACACACACGCACTCACGCACGCACGCACGCACGCACGCACACAGACACACACACACAGCAGACAGCGCAGAACACACACCACATAACACACAGCACACACAACACACACACGCACTTTTTGCGGTCGCGGCTTCGTGTGCACCGACGAGGCGGAGAGAGTCGAACGACCAGCACGGGACGGGCGCGGTCGGACGGGCCGTCAGAAGCGGGGATCCGTTGGATCGACCGCGCACGCACGCACATACACACACACGCACACACGCACACACGCAGACACGCAGACACGCAGAAGCGCACACACGCATACACTCACACACACACACACGCACATGCGCCCGCCCCCTCCACAACACAGCACACAGCACACAGCACACAGGACACAGCACACAGCACACAGCACACAGCACAACGCACGCAGCACACACAACCCACACAACACACACACACACCGCACAACACACAACACACCACGCAGCACACAACACACACACACCACACAGCACACAACACACAGCACACAACACGCAGCCACAGCACCCAACTCACAACTCACAACACAACACATACAACAAGCAGCACACAACACACATGACATCACACAGCACACAACACACACAAGACACACCTCATAATACACAACACACAGCACACTAAACACACCGCGCACGCACACATTGCAACACAACACGCACAACACACAACACATAACAGACAGCGCATAACACACAACACACAATACATAAGACACACCTTACAACACAACACACACCACACAACACAGCCGCGCACGTACAGCACACACATTGCAACAGAAAGCGCACAACACACAAAACACAGCAGACAGCGCAGAACACACAAGAAATAACACACAGCACACAACACACACACACGCACGCACTTCTTGCGGTCGCGGCTTCGTGTGCACCGACGAGGCGGAGAGAGTCGAACGACCAGCACGGGACTGGCGCGCGCGGACGGGCCATCAGAAGCGGGGATCCGTTGGATCGACCGCGCACGCACGCACATACACACAAGCACGCACACAACACACACACACACACTCCCGCACACACACGCATACACAGTCTTTTGGGGACGCGACACGCACACACAAACACTTTTTGGCGGTCGCGGTCTGGCACGCGGCGAAGAGG